AAGGGGGAAGGCGAAGGCGAGAAGAAAGCGAGAGGCAGACCAACGAAAGCGGAGGAGCTAGCCAAATTAAGAAGAACGGACAGTACAGGATCGGTTAAGGAATTCTTTCAGAAGAGTGAGAAAAGGAAGAGGGAAGAAGAGGTGGAGGAAGCAGTGAATGCGGAGGAAGAAATTCTAAAAGAATTTAACGCACAAAGAAGGGTCAACAGATCACCGCCGCCCAAAATCAAAAAAGAAAAGCAGGAAAAAGAAAATATGGCGACAGAAGAATTACTGGAGAAGGTTAAAGAAATTTTGAAGAAAATGGAGGAACAAAAGGGAGAAAGAAAGAAAGATAAGGAGGAACAAGAGAAAGAAAGAAAAAGAGATAAAGAGGAAATAAAAAACGAAATTAAAGGACTGAGGGAGGAATTGAGGAGAAGCGAGGAGATATGGGAAAATCAAAGAAAGGCTTTGGAAGGAAGACTTAAGAACTTAGAGGAGAAGGCGGAGAAGATAGAAGTAAACATGTCAATGAGTGAGGGAGGGGAGATAATAAGGAAAATGAAAGAGATAGAAAGAAATATGGAGATGGCAGAAAGAAGAAGGAGGAGAGTAAACATAATTGTAAGAGAAGAGAAAACAGGAAATGAAAAGGAAAGAAAAGAAAAAACCGAGAAGTTGATAGAAGAAATAAATAGTGCGAAAATGGCCATCGAGGAAGTACAAGAAATTGGACATGGAGAATTTAAGATGAAGGTGCTGAGATGCAGAAATTGGGAAAACAAACGAGAGATAATGATGAGAAAGAAAGAGCTAGGAAAGAAGTATGGCTGTTTTCTGAATGACGACCTTACTAAAGAAGAAAGGCAGATACAGAAAGAGTTAAGAAAGATAGCAAGGGAAAAAAGAGAGGCAGGAAAATGGGTAACGGTCGGTTACCAAAAAATATGGGAAGATAATAAGGAATGGAGATAGAACGAAAGCAAAGAAGCGCTAGAAAAAAGGGATTACTTTCGCAGATAAGAAAGAAAAGAAGAAGAATAAAGAAGGGTTAAGAAAGATGATCGAGAGAAGGAGGGAAGAGATACAAGAAGGAAGACAGGAAAGGTCCAAGGAGATAAAAGAAAGGCAGAACACACCAGAAGAAACCAGAATGGACGAAGAAAGTATAAAGGAGGTAGATGAGGAAAATAGTAGAGGTATAAGGGATAAGGGAAGTCGAGGGACAAGAGAAAAGATATATAGGAGAAGAGGAAAGAAACAACGGGGAGAGTGAAAAGACGTGGAAAGTGGCCTTTTGGAACGTAGCTGGTTTATCAAACAAGGATAAGGACTTCTGGGAAGGGATAAAGGAATGGGAGGTGATTGTGATGATGGAGACGTGGACTGACGAGAAAGGATGGGAGAAGGTGAAGGAGAAGCTACCGAGAGAATATAGATGGAGAGTACAGATAGCAACCAGGAGGAACAAGAAAGGCAGAGCATGCGGAGGCATGTTGCTAGGAATAAGGAAAAGCATAGAAGAGATAAAGGAAAGAAGGGAGACGGAGGAAGAAGGTAAAATCGAAGGTAAGATAAGAATAGGAGAGGAAGTATGGAGAATAATAGGAATCTATGTAAACAACAATATAGACGAGAAACTAGAAGGTCTGAAGGAAAGGACGGAAGAGGGGGAAAAAGGAGTAAGGACCATAATAGGAGGCGACTTTAACGCGAGAACGGGAGAGGAAGAAGGATGGGAAGAGGAAACCGAGCGAAGAGTGGAAAGAGGGAGGAAGTCAAAAGATAAGAAGATAAATAAAGAAGGCAGAAAGTTACTGGAGTTTATCGAGGAGAGAGGATGTATGATATTAAATGGAGGCACAAAGGGGGACGAGGAGGGAGAATATACATACACAAGGGGAAGAGGTGAGACAGTCATAGATTACATAATAGGGGACGAGGAGGTTAGAGAAAAGGTGGAAAGACTGGAAGTAGGAGAAAGGATAGATTCGGACCATCCATTAATACTTTGGGTGAGAGGTAGCTCGAAGAGAAGGCAAAGGAGGAGAGGAGCTGAAAAGAGGAGAAGAAGGGGAATATGGAATGATGAAGGAAAGACGCAATTTAGGGAGAAGTTAGGCACGATTGAAGAAAAAAGAGATCTGCAAGAGGAAATAGAGGAAGGAACAAGGAAGATAAGAAGAGTGATTGAGGAGAACGAGGATAAGAATGAAAGAGGGACTGTCAAGAACAAAAGAGGGTGGTGGAACGAGGAATGCACGGAGAGCAAGAGGGAAGTAAGGAGAGAACTAAGGAAATGGAGAAAAGGGAAAGGAGAGGCAGAAAGATACAGAGAAAGCAGGAAAGAATATAGGGAAATGTGTGATAGAAAGAAAAAGGAAGAGAAAGAAAGAATGATTAGAGAGATTGGAGAGGCGAAAACGGAGGGAAAGGTATGGGAGTTGATAGGCAGAGTAAGGAAGAGAAGAAGAAGGGTGAACGAAGAGATAAAACCGGAAGAGTGGAAGGAGTATTTCATGGAACTGATGGGTGGAGTGGAGAACAGAGTGGTAAAGGGAGAGGGAGACAGAAGTAGGCAGGAGGAAGAAGAGATAGGATTAGAAGAGATAAGAAACGTAATAAAGAAACTAAAGACGGGAAAAGCAATAAGCAATGACGGGATACCTAACGAGGCATGGAAGTACGGAGGAGAAGAAATGGTGAAATGGATATGGGAGGTATGCAAACGTGTATGGAGAGGGGAAGGCTGGCCAGAACAATGGAAGGAAGGGGAGATAATCCCATTAGTTAAAAAAGGAGAAGGGCGAGAGGTGAAGGACTATAAGGAATAACCATCATGTCTTCGATGTACAAAATCTACACGGCGGTACTGGCGGAAAGAATAAGAGAAGAAGTAGAAGAGAAGAAATTGATCCCAGATAATCAGACGGGATTCAGGAAAGGAATGGGAACAATGGATCAAATATTCGCTTTGAACTACTTGGTGAACAGACAAATAGGAAAAGAGAAAGGAAAGATGACGGTGTTTTTTGTGGATTTGAAGGCTGCCTTCGACTCAGTGGACAAAAGAGTATTAATCAAGGCAATAAGAGAAAGAGGAGTGAAACAAGGACTGATAGATAGAGTAGAGGAAGTATTGAGGGAAACAAAAAGCAGAGTAGGGAAAGGAGGAGAGAGTGGTGGTCAATTTTGGACGGCGAAAGGCCTGAGACAGGGATGCCCACTAAGCCCAATATTATTCAACCTACTAATCGCAGACATAGAGGATCATATAAAAAAAGACGGATGGGGAGGAGTGAAATTAAGAGGTGAGAAGATATACACGCTAATGTATGCAGATGATATTGCACTGCTGGCAGAGGAGGAGCAGGACATGAGATCAATGATAAGCAGGTTAGAAGGATATCTAGACAAAAAAGGATTAACTCTAAGTATAGAGAAGTCAAAGGTAATGAGATTCAGAAAGGGAGGAGGAAGGAAGAAGACTGGAGGTGGAAGGGAAAAAAATTAGAAGAGGTTAAAGAATTCAAGTATTTAAGGTATACGATGAAGGAGAATGGAGGACAGGAGGCGCATATCAGAAAGAGAAGAAGGAAGGCAGCGAGAGTAATGAGGGAAGTGTGGGGGATAGGGAAGAGGATGTGGAAAAAGGACTGCAAAAGAAGGATCTGGCTATACGACACACTGATATGGACAGTGATGGGATACGGGGCAGAAGTATGGGGATGGAAGGAAAGGAGGGAGGTAGAAGGTATTCACGAAAGATATTTAAGATGGGTACTTGGAGTAAACTGGAGGAGAGGGAATTGGAGAAGAAGGAGAAAGATAAGGAGAGGCAAGAAAGGATGGAAAAGATCATGGGATCGAAGTACAACAAATAGTATAAGAATATAAGAAAGGACGGGATTCCGGACTATCTAATGAAGGGATGGGAGGAAGCAAGATGAAACAGGATTGCAAGATTTAGACTGGGGAACGAAGTGAGGGAAGGACTATACTGGAAAAATGAGGAGAACAAAAAATGCAGGATGTGTGGGAGGGAAGAGGAAACATGGAAGCACATATGGGAGGAGTGTACGAGATGGATGGAGTGGGAAGGAGAGGGATGGCAGGAAGTGGTGGGGAGATTACTCGGAGAGAAGGGGGAGGGAGAGAAATGGATGAAAGCAATAGAGGAAATGAGAAGAGAGAGAAGAGGTAAAAGAATAGAAAGGGAAGGGGGAGGAGACGATAACCTCTCGAAAGAGGACCAAGGAGCACGAGACAGCAAAAAGACTGGAGGGAATCTACAGGGACACGGACAATGACAAGGCAGATAGAGATGAGTATGCCGTCATATAACGCCCTTAACTCGGGAGAAAGAGGAAGTGCTACCAGAGGCGAGTACAGCAAAAATCAAGGCGGGTACGCAACACACGCCGCCGCAACAGGTAAAGATCGATTGCGGCAAGATCGAGAGATCGACAGAAGGAAATAACAGAACGAGGTGAGAAACGCACGTGGCACAGAAAAGGGAAACGGCAACAGAAAGTTACCGGCGGTAGCAGGAAAAGTTTAACGGAGGAGCAAAGGTAAAAAACGGCAGAAAGAGCGGTCCACGGAAGTGAGGAGAGAGATAGGAGGAAGACGGGATGAGGAGCAAAGCGGATTTAATAAACAGAGAGGTTAATCAGTCTTTTGTTTCTATTCACAGATATCGAAGGCAGGAAAGAAAGGAAGGATGAATAGAAAAGTGGCGATAACCGTCGACAGGGAGGTAATAGAGGCTATAATGGATGAGCGAATGAAGGAGTACAAGAAAGAAATGAAAGATCTGAAGATTGAGCTGGACATAATGAAAAGAAAGGTACTCAGATTGGAGCAAGGCCAAGGAAAAAGGAAGAGAGAAGAGAGCGAAGAGAGAGGGGGTAAGAGAGTATGGTGGTACAAAGGAGAACGAGGAAAAGAAGAGAAAGAAAAATATAATAATCAGAGTCGAGAAGGAGAAATGGGGCGAAGGAGGCTCAAACTGGAGCAAGATAAAACAACTGCTAACAAAAGGACTGAGGGTGGAGGTGGAGGTGAAGGAGGTGAGCGTACTGGGTCAGAGAGGGGAATGGCTTACAATCCTGCTAAGGATGGGAAGCGAGGACAAATGGAAGGTGCTAAATGCGAGAAGAAGAGAAGGTAGTAGAATGAGTGTAAAAATGGACGAGGACAAACCTCTGGAGGAGAGGATCAAAGAGAGAAAAGAGAGAGAGAAGAGAAGGGAAAGGAAGGAGAGGCAATGCAGAAAGCCGAAGAGTACGGCGGAGGATAAAATTACAAAAAAGATGGAAGAGAACCTCCTAATGATTTCAGACGAGGACGAGGAGAGGCCGGAAGAAAGACGCTAGAGGTGGTAGGGTGGGGGGGTAGAGGATAACTGAATAACATGTAAAGGGTTGGGTACGTCCCTAAAAAACGCCAATGTAAAGGGTTGGCGTCCCTACAAAACGCCCTTTGGACCCCATGAGGGTAATAAAGTACTAATACATACAACAAACATATTGACAAACATAATACAACATCCCAATAATTATAATAATATAATGGTATTGATAGGTATTTATATAGATGTATTTATATAGAATAGTTACTGCACCTCAAAAATTAATAAAAATAGGCTCATTCGACGCATTTTGGCACGAAACGAAAGAATCTGGCAGAAAAATGCGGCGGTCTGCCCTACAAGACGAGATATTTAGTGTTAAAGTTGACGATTCTTAGGTTAAAAATCCTGTCATATCGACGTGATGTAGCGATTATGAACATGCCCCGCGGCCACATGCGCATGCTCCGTGACCGCACGCGCATGCAAAAGTGTGCGAATTTTAAACGTATGCATACTTATAATGCATAAATATAAATATGTACTTTTCATATACCAACTATTTTCTGCTTTAACAAATTATTTCTGCTACAAATATTAAGCGTTAAAGTTAACGAAACAAAAATAATATATTAAAGCAGAGAATAGTTGATATATAAATATGTGCTTTTTGTGGGGTTGTAGGTTAGGATTAGGTTAAGGTGCATCGTTTCCACAAATAACGAAACGTTCAATTGGGCATAATCTCGCTAGGTTTATTCATGCTCTCTGTACAAAATAAATATCTCTTCTATATGAATGTGTAGATGGTCGTGTGTGTTGGTGTAAGTTATCCTTGTGTAGTGTAATATATGCATTACTATTCTTTGAATAATTGTTTAATAATTGATTTCTTCTTCTCGAAAATAATTTTTCGCGGGACCACCAGGTTCCGTCCGGGAGTCCTAGGCTTGCCTTTCGGAGTGGACAGAATGGAACTCAGTCGGGTCTGAAAAAATCGAGGTCGTGTAGGTGTCTTAAAAATGTAGTCTGTTTGAGTTGCCACAGAGTTCTCCAGATCAATAGGATGAAGTGGGCGTCGGACACGTGGAGCTCGTGGTGGTATATCGATCGGATAGAGTTTCCACGGTAGGAAGGTTTCTATCCTGGAGATCGGTATGGAGTCCCTCGCCTGGATCTCAGGAGCCGGTATGTCCTTGGGAGCCAGGGTAGAGATAGGTACGAGCTTCCAAGGTAGGAAGAACTCTACCTTGGAGGTTAGGATCGGATCCTCGTAGCCTCAGGAACAGGAGTTATAGCTGGTGTAGGGCTCGGTAGGACTGGAGTCGGACTTGGAATAGACGATGACTTGATTTCCACCGATTTCAGTGTTGCTGGGTCAGTATGACCCCACTTGGCAATCGGGGTGAATTTCCACTTCGGCTTGGACTTGGTCTGCAGGATACGTTTCCAAGGAGGTAGAGTTTCTACCTTGGTAATCAGGATGCGGTACTTCGTCTTGGTCACAGGATCAGGAGTCGGAGCCGAGGCCGTAGTCAGAGAAGGCAGCGCCTTGGTCTCAGGAGCAGGAGTTAGAGATGAAGAAGGCAGCGCCTTGATCTCAGGAGCAGGAGCCGTGATAGGAGAAGGCAACGCCTTGGTCTCCACCGGATATGAAGTTGCCCGACGGGCTGGGTCGCGACGACCCCGGAAACCTTTCCGCGGCAAGGTGTCGGTTGACTCTTTACCGTAGATAGTTAACGCCCTGCAAAGCAGGTATAGACGAAGGCCCTGAGGAGAACAACGTTCCGTATCTACAAAGGCCCTGAGTAGAGCAACGCTTCGTACCAAAAGAGAATTATGTCAGAGGCCCCGGTAGGTAGCACGCCCTGACTGGCGTTCTCGAAGATCGCTGGGGAGGCCCAGTGCTGCGATTTCGAGCCCCGGCACGCACGCGAATTTCCCCCTCCACTACGCACACAAATGACGCTCGGTCTATCGGTGTGTCGGCAGCGCTCGGCCGTTCCGAGCGAGAAAAAGAATATCACTTCCTCCTTGTCGCTCTCACACAGCTCGCGCGATCGACAAATGTTTTTACGCTGGAAATGCTTTCTCGGTATCTCGGCGTGAATCTGAGTTGCCGGTGCACAATAACCAAAGAGCGATCTTTGGAATAATGTAGAGATGATGTAAAAATGATTAATAAACACGAAAAAATTGTAGTAAAAAAGTATATAAAAGTATATTTTCGTTAACAAATATATTTATAGAAATGCTATATTTTTATATATTATTTATTTATATGTCCAATAACGTGATATATATGTATATATATATATATATATATATATACATATAAATATATATAAAGATATATATATATATATACACACACACACACATATACGTGTTCCAGAGGATATTGAACTAAATAAGAAAGTTATATACATATGTATTGTATAATTTATAACTTCTTTATTTGTTTCAATATCCTCAATTGTATACCATTCAAATAAATTCTAGTAAGGAATAATTTCCTCATATGAAAATTGTACTACAGTTAAATGCATTGTAATAGAAGGAGCCCACTATTGAGAAATTTAAAGAAGCATTTTAAAGCTCACAGTTTAATAAGTAGGATAGGTAGTTACCTTTATTAAAACTGGACCCCCCACTAGCGCAAATCAAGTTCGCACTAGGTCAAAAATTTAGTGCTATT